ACAAAAAAGGTATGGGTAGGTACAATAGATACCAGATGTCACATAGCTGCCAAGCAATAAGTGAGCAAACTTAGGGGTCAGCAGTATCCAACCCATGAGCCAGATCTGGCCTACAGAGTCACTGGTTATGGCCCACAGAACTGTAGGGTTTTGCCTGCACCTGTCCCAGTGCAGGGACTGAACAGCAAGGAGCTGTGCCTGCACCACTGTCACTTGTCTCCACCCCCACTTCTTTTTCCCATGGCTCAGCTTGTAGCCAGAGGGTAGTTTTGCTGGAGCAGAAGAGCTGGGAGCTGTGTCCATGCAGCTGTTGTTTCTCCCTGCTCCCCATCCTCAACCTCCTCTCCCCCTTTCGCAGTAGCACCAGTTTGCATCACCCTTCTTCCCCTCCCCAGTTACATCACCCCAACTCATGAAATCACCTTTGCTTAGGAAATTTTGTATCAGTCAAAGGGAGGATATATCTGAGGGAGAACAGATTCCTTAAAATACACAAATGTATAGAACTGGTAAAAGAGAGGTTGTCATTCCATGTTGTTGGTTGGTTGGTTGGATTGTTGGTTGCTTTGTATGTTTTCCCCCACCTCAGAGTGATAGACTTCAATCACCTCTGTGGCTTTTTGTGCTGGAGTCATTTATAACTCCACATCAGTAGCATGTTTCCAATTTAGACAACTTTTGTCTGTTTATAGTACCCAAGAATGTATACAACTCTGTGGTGGTCAGTCAGAGAGACCTGGAAGCATAAAACATTGTTCAATAACCTCCCAGTTTGTTAGGAGCTTCCTAGGTTAAAAAAGAGGAGGTGCAATTTGGGATCATAGATCAGATCCCATTGACGCCATTAGTATTTGCCAGTGTAGGGGGAACATCATAATCTCAGGCTTCCCCTGCACCAGCAAATTGAAAGCAGGATACCTGTACATCCACACATGGGGCAACAAATCAGCTGATTGTTGGCCCCAACTCAAACAGTCCTGGGTCCAGGGCTGGAGTACTGGATCTGGTGGGGCTGCCAAGCATGGAGTTTAAAGTCCCAGTGAGGAAAGCCCTTTGGCTACCCAACAGGAAAACTAGGATTGCTCTGAAGGCCAGTGCCAACAAGCAGCTGATTGTCAGAATTGGTCTTAGGGTAGCCTCTGGCCTATTTAAAACCAGGGATGCCCCAGACCAGTGCCAACAATATAGTCAGTAGCCTGGTTGCAGAGCAGCACAGTCAGGACCGATTCAGCTGATTGTTGGATTGTCAGGCATTTGCTCTGGGGAGCCCCAGTGCATGGACATGGTATGCGTTTAATTTAAGGCATCATACAAATCATCCATAAAAATGTCCTACATTATTTTATGGAACATTTTCCTGGATGATTTGTCATTTAATGGTGCCTTAAACTGGGTGCTCATACCGAGCCTTTGCCATTTATTCTGCAATTAACACATTAATTGTGGTATAAATGTAATATGTAGAGAGAGCTTCGGAGCAACCAGTCTCTCTAATAATTAATTTAATTTCTATTTCAGTTAATCACCGTCAAGTATTTTAGTCACTCAAAATCATGTAATTTGTGAATATATTCCCATCAGTGAAGGACCAAACACCAATTTTGGAATAAGATTGGCCCTCCTAGGGTTATTGGAACCAATGGACAATTACTCTTTTTTTTTTTTTAATTTATCCATGAAAACATTTTTTATTTCCATAATATAAGTGAGACTGGTCAAAACAAAGTGATCACTTTTTCCTTATCCTAAATTCCTTCCCAAAATGTCATATTTGCAAAATGTATTGTAATTTTGGGCTGTGTCAACTGGAGTATTAGATGTAAGGCACGGGAAGTGATAGTACCACTCTATTCAACACTTCATAGGCCTTAGTATTTTCTGTGGTTCTGGGCTTCATAGTTTAAGAAGGCTGTGAAGATGCTAGGGAGGGTCCAGAGGTGTGTGTGAAAATGACAGAGGCTTGTAAGGCAAGCTCCGTGAGGAAAAGTTGAGAGAGCTAGGTATGCCTAGCTTGGAGAAAAGGAGATTAAGGAGGTGACATGGTAATAGTTTTCAAAATATTTGAAAGGCTGGCATAGAGAAGAGTGAGAATGACTGACTGTTCTCCCTTGCCACAGAGGGCCAGACATGAAGCAAAAGTTTTAAATTGCAGCAAAGCTGATTTAGATTGGATCTCAGCAGCAACTTCCATACTGTTAAAACAATAAGGCTATGGAATAGGCTGCCCATGGAAGTTATAGTATCTCCTCCATTGGAAGATTTCAAGAGGAGGCTGAATAAGTATTGACAGGGATGATTTAGGAATAGCATGCAGACAGAAGCTTGGATAAGTGGACACTTGAGGTCCCTTGCAACTCTGTGATCCTTCATGTTAACAGGTTGTTATAAGAAGTAGGCAATTCATCTGCCAGTGTTCTTTCAAATACCACATTCCCATCAAAGGAATATTCTTTAAATAATTAGATATGAAGAAACTTAAATTTTTCTACCTGCATAGTTCAAAAGAGACTAGACTCTCACCCTAGGTGTTCATCTCCTGTAGGGATAAACATAAAGGAAATGGCATCATTTACCAGCACCCAGCAGGATCTACATTGGAAAAATGTTGTAATTTGGCAGTGTTCACATGTTGAAGTTTTGCTGATGTTGTCTTGCCCCTAGTAAAATGCCACACATTTTGATAGTTGACATTTGTAAAGCAACAAACATCTACTGAGATTGAGAATTCTAATTTGGATCAAGATCCTGAGATAAAACAAAAGCAATATTGTAATCTTTATTCAGTTAGCACTTCTCGGCTCACTATAATTTGGAGGTGGTAAACTCCTCATGGGGGAATATGTGAAGGTAATTCAAAGAAGCTAAGGCTAGTTACTTCTTCACATTAATGCTGTCTGCTGGCTTTTCACTTTTCATTAGAATCCTGTTGTTTGAGGTGGTTCTGAGGTTCAGGGGGAAGGAACTGATTCAGTGGGTGTAGCCAAGTAACAGGAACATGCAAAGGATCATCTTAAAAACTCTAGAAAGTAAACTTTGTCTCTGATAGATAACTTACATTGAAAAAAAAGACTGCCAGTGGTCTTAAATAGTTATTGCAGATGGCATGCTTGAACTTAAATTAGTCAGTAGTCAAAATTGTGGGATTGTAGCAGTAATTCTCTTTGTCAGAGGTCTGTGGAAGAATGCATGAAATGTCATTGCTGCTTGAACATCCATCGGGCAGTATATAAGGATGAAAAAATAGTTGGTGCATCATATTCTAAAGTATGCTAGATATCTAAAATTCTACTGGAGCTTTTTTGAGAAACTGGAAGTGTTCATATAGAAATGATGCTTTGATAAGTGCTGTCTGTAATTTACTCTGCAAATTCTTGTAATTTGTGAGAGTAAGACCTACGTTTCAACGGCAGACACCAGAAATTGTCTACTCTTAGCAAAAGTGAAACAAGCTCCTTGCTTTCCTTTGCATAATAGACAGCATTTTTAATCTTGCAAAATAATCTATTTTACTAGTTTCCAAACACAGTAGATTTTGAATGTTGACTTCAAAAAGGATTTTACACAAGAGATGTTATGGAGAAGCTCCTTATTCTACAGAGGTTAAGTTACCTCCTTTACTATTAATTTAGAATGATACTGAATAGATCAGCATAACCAGTCAAATGTATATTTTTGTGCACGAGAGGGAGAATATTGTCACTATATTGGAAAAATGTTGTATTTGGGGAAAAAATGGCTTTTTTCACCTGAAACATAGCATAACTTATGTTGTTTCATTAAAAGATACCATGTAATCAGTTTTATCCATTTTTCTTATTAATGAAGACTTCTTTGTGATTAAAGCATGTCTTCCCTCTGTATCTAAAAAATAATGGAGATGTGACTAAGCATGTATTTGCAGCTCAGTTACTTGACCTTTCTACAACCCACAGATACCGCTAATGCTGATTTGTAATGGAGACATTATCGTTTATTTAAATCTCGATTAGGAAACAATTATAAGCAGGGTTTTAGCATGGCAGTAAATTGATGTAGCCTTTAATTCATACTATAGATTGAGTGGATAAGCTTACTGTCTGTAATTAGGGGGAATTATAATGACTTCAATTGGTTGACTCATCTCTGCCAGGATAGTGTCTACTAATGTTTCTTTCTGCCTTTTATTATTTTTTAGTTCACTTTCAGTTCTACCTTGGTGTTCAGTTTTATTTTTTCCATTTTGATACACAACACAGATAGAGTTACAATTGATTTATTGTATCTGTCTTTTTTGGTATTAATAGAAGAGAAGCTTGATGAAATAACCCAACAGTTAACAACACTATGCAGTTAGACTCTTTAAAAATCAATTTGCAGAATTGCTTTTAGTAAAGTCAAAGACACCTTTTTATATAAGGTTTAACAATGTGAATAGGATCATTCTCTTATTTTGCATATGACTGAATGTTAGATAAAAAGGATTAGTTTTAATGCTCTTTATGTTTTTGTATCTATATTGTGAACATTCAGGAATGTTTTTATATATTTTATTCAGATTTACCTTATCTCCTGCTTTGGCTGCTCTTTTTTATATTTTTTGAAGTATATTTAAAATGTCCTTTAAAAAATCCATCTTGGTTATTTTGAGGAAACATAGAAGCACTGATTCCTCATGTCTCACAGGCAAGTGAATATTCATAGCAGGTCCTTATGATATTTCAAGCCCAATGAACACTGTTCCTATTTTATTTGAATACAGTTTCTAGTGGATGCACTCATGACTTTTACTTCAGTTTTGAACTACTAAACATTTAACATGAAAGTTCAGTGTGAACATTTATTTTTATTGAACTTTCCTAAGTTAATGTACCTAATATTCTTTTAACCTATGGCATAGGTAGCATGTGACTTGTCTTAGATTTTCTTAAGTATAGCATTATAAGGCCAGACAAGAAGAGAGAAAAAAGAGGTGACTAATCTGATGCTAAATTTATTTGTATTTGTTTTTTGTCCATCTGCAGTGGATGATTCAGAGCCCTTACAAAGCAGCAACTTTCTTTGGGTGCATTGGAAAGGATAAATTTGGGGAGATCCTTAAGAAGAAGGCTGAGGAAGCGCATGTGGATGCTCATTATTATGAGCAGAATGAAGAGCCAACAGGAACTTGTGCTGCCTGCATCACTAGTGACAACAGGTCAGAGACCTTATCTCTACAAGTTACTTTATTGCTTCTTAAGGATATGCGCACTGATAAAATAGGCATCTTGTTTCGGAATATTTGACCTTTAAATATATTGTAAATTCTAATATAATAAAGGGCTTAGTCTGTCTGTCTCTCTGTCTGTCCATAATGCTCTTTGAGCACTCTGATTGGTTACTGAAACAACAACTCTGAGTGGTCCAAGAGCGTTCCAGACAGGAAGTGGCGGCAGCAGCATGGTAGAGTGCCACCATGATGGAGGGGATGGGGATGTGGGATGAGGCCTGTGCTGCTGTCTTTACCATTCTCCCCTTCTCCTCCAGCCCTGCTCCCTGGAGGCAGTGGGGCCATGGGGTGCCGGGGGGGAGGGGGGATGGCGAGGCAAGCTCCCCCCCACACACACTCCTGGGAGATGGCGGCAGCACGGGGTGGTGGGTGGTGGCACTCCATCCTTTCCTTCTTCCCTGGTCATTCCTGACAGGCAATTGGCTAATTTTATAATAAAGAAGCAGTTAATAACACTGATATGGGAAGCAGGGCATTGAGGATGGCAGATCATTATTTTTGTTCTTTCATATTTGAGAATATCAGGTGCATTACAGTGAAAGAGTATGAGATAGCACAGTAATCTACTGGCACTTGTTGCTGAGATTTAAAGCTCACAGTTGCTCTAGATCAGAGCTGTCCAACTTCTAAGCAGCCGGGACCACATGTAGCTTGGGCTATGTTAGTATTAGTCATGGGCTCGTTGTTGCTCCTACGCAACCTCATGTACCGCTCATGCGGGTGGTCACCATCTCAGCTTCCCAGCTGTGGGTTCCCCAGCTGTATTGTGCCGTGGTCTCCCACGACATTTTGGACTGTACTGCACCACTTCCCTGAGGTGAGCAAAAGAAGTGGAAGCTGGAGGAAGGAGGGGAAGCCTGGAGACCCTGCAGCAGCCAAAGTAATGGGGGGAGCGGTGCCAAGTGACAGTTTGGGAACTGATAGCCTTGTTCTAGGTGAAAATTTATGTACAAAAAATTCTTGGAAAATGTTAGCCATAAAATTTATTTGTTTGCTAGATTAAGGGTGATTGTCACATCACAATTGAGTGAAGAAACATATTTAATATTTTTATTAATATTTAAGAAATATATTTTTAATATGTAAGAATTAAGATAAATATTTAAGAAATTAGCATGCTAAGGAGCATACTAAGGATGCCAATTAATGAATCATTAGCTGCCAACTTGTTTGTTGCTGTACAGAAAGATAAGCTCTATATTTGTAACTGCTATTTAAAAGTTTAGATGAGAACTGTAACTCAGGAGAGGCAAGGCAATGAACTAATTCTTGCTGATAAACATAACATTTAACTAACGATTGCTATGTGTTCTATTTGTACATTGGATTTTTGTTTCAGTTAAATTCCTTGTTTTACTTGATCTTTGTATTATCAGTGTTTTCCTTATCAGACCTTTTTGACATGGTTATACTTTCTTAAAATTGGAGCTGTGAACAAAGCTCTTCATGATAACAACCATGATTTTCTCTGGCTTTGCAATATATAACACCTCATTCTGATTAGAACATTTTGGTTGTTGCTGCAATTGAATACATATAAATTAGAGGCTAAAAAGAGAGTTAATGTATAGCAGATAATTTTCAACATGCTTCTTCCTCCCCCAACTCCTTTCTTCCTTCATTCATTATTGTTGGCACCTGATGATTTTTGAAGCTGTCAGTACCTGTTACTCAGAGATTGAAAAAGTCTTGAGATGTTAATAGTGACCAGGTAATGTGTTCAGGCTTCAGGACAACACATTCCTTAGGGTTATGAGAAGGTCAAGAACTGATAACTTGTACATACACAGAATTCCCATATCATCACAACACTTTTGAGTTCTGTTTTAATTTATTGAGGAAATAGTACTTTTTGAGATGGGTGATTTTTTGAATGGTTAGCACTTGCTGACATTAGGAGGTTTGACATTTTTTAAATTGCATTTGTCAAGGTTTCATATAAGGGGAGTGTATGTGATGGTCTTTAAATTTCTCTGGTTCTTTTATTGAGTAATTGGCATCCTTTCATCTGTGAGAGATGATGAATATCGCAGCCTATGGCATAGATGGTTTGCAGTGTCTCAAATGACTGACTGAAAAGTGCTATCTGAGATTTGCATGATCTGTAGCAGTGGTTGCATGTGTGTGTGTCATGATTGGGTGGTTCAGGAGCTGCTTGCTTCCTGCAAACTCTTTTCTCTTCAAGCTGTTGGAACCAATTCCTGTCATGGACTTTAATGCCCTTGTGGAGACGGTGATGTCACTGTTCCAATCACTTTCCAAAGTTTCCCATTGGTCAGGATCAATTCCAAATGCCTTCATATCTTGCTTGTGTATTTATAGTGAAGCTTGGGACATCCTGTTGTTCTTGTTCCCTCTGATAGTTCTCCGTATAGCATGTCCTTAGGTATATGTCCATTTTCCAGTCTGCTCAGATGGCCTACCCAGCACAGTCATCTCTGTTTGAGTAACAGAGTTGGTAAATTTACCCTTTGAAAAACCTCTGCTTTGGTAACTTTATTTTGTCATTTGATGTTGAGTATGTGGTGTAAACAGAGCAGGTGGAAGATGTTTAAACTTTTCTCTTGATGTGCAGCCTTTCTGATGCAAACATTAAGTTCTTCATCCAGTGAGAGGTTGGTGGTCACTGTGGAGCCTAGGTAGCTGAACTTTTGGACTACCCTCTATCTAGTTTCATTAAGAGTGATTGACAGATCTTGTGGAACATGCTGTCCTTGCATAACTGTTTTCTTTATGCTGATGGTGAGAGCAAATACCTGGCAAGCTCTTGAGAGGCAATCCATGAGTTCTTGTACTAAGTCTTCATTGTGGGCTGTAAGGGCAGCATTATCAGCAAATAGTTGAGTTGGACTTCTTATATTTCGAGTGTCATGTTCTTATTCAGGAAGAGTAGAATTTCTTGTCCTACTTCTTTTAGTGGTGGAGAGATTTATGCAAGTTCAGATTAGTTACTGCTGAATTCTCTTTTGCCTTGCTGTACAAGGCTTTTCTTTTCAGAACAAGTAAATACCCAAGGGTGTTTCTTAAGAATATTAAGTGAGAACTTGAGTTTGTGGTCTGTTAGATCTTTTTAATTTATTATGAGAAAACTAGTCCCTCTCTACTTCCTTTCTGCAATCTGCTTCTGTTTGTCTTTTGAGGACTGAGAATAAGGAATGATGTAGAGAGTTTGTGTTAGCCTCCTGATTGCTTCCCTTCTATGAAATTTTTTTGGTGGCACTAAGGAAATCGTGCATATTGTGAATGTCAGCAAGATGTTGAATCTCCTTCGCCTTGTCTTCCCACCATCTGTTTTTCATATATCAGGTCCTCCTTTAGACCTTTGCCTTGGCTTGTTGATGATTCCATTTCTTTTACTTGCAGTTGGTGTCATTCTGCCAAGCATGAAAGGCCTAGTGCTTGCAATTGATCAACTCTTGGATACCCGAGTCGTTCTTATCAAACCAGTCTTGGTGTTTCTTGGTAGAGAATCCAAGTGTCTCTTTGCAGGTGCTGATGACAGTGAACTTGAAGGCACGTCAACTGCTTCCAACATTCTCCCATTGTTGTTGATTGGAATTTGCCAGTTTTTCAATGAGACACTGGTGGAAGAGGTCTCGCTTGATTGGGTCCTTGAGTCCTTCAATGTTGACCTTCCGTCGGCATTGCTTTTGCTGCAGCCATCATTTGGGAACCAGTTTGCGTGACTTAACTAAGCAGATGAGTCCTTGATTGGTCCAGCAATCATCAACTCCTAGCATAGCTCAAGTAATGTGAACATCTTTGTGATCCCAGGCATGAACAATGACATAGTCAATCAAGTACCGAAGCTTAGATTGAGGGTGTTGTCATGACGTCTTGTACCCATTTTTCTGGTGGAACAGGGTGTTGCTGATGATGAGTCTGTTCTGTACATTTAATAAAGAGGAGGATGCTTTTGGGAGTTCACCTTTCCCACTTGTCAGTGGTTCTGTTCCAGAAGTTCAAGTCCCTTCCAACTCTGGCATTGAAATCACCAAGCAGAATAAGCCTGTCTTCTACCAGAATGTCAGAAATGAGTTGGTCAGCTTTGACAGAATTCCTTCTTGGTTTTATTGGCTGCATCAAGAACTGGGACATACACAGTGGCATATTGACTACCTGCCAATTTGAGGTGGAGAGTCATGAAGTGCTCACTGGGTGCCTGTACACATACATCGAGGCTGCTCTGACGTGCTGTAAGTACAGTGCGTTGAAGCAACCTTGATTAATTGAGTCTGCTGATGTGGGGTAATTACCGCGCTCCAGCAGACGCAAGCGTCATATGTATCAGCATCCCTGCACTGAAAAATGGTGATGGGGGGCACTTTAACTAAAACTCATTTGAGCCCCCGCCACAATTTTCCAGCACGGGGATGCTGATACACATGAAACTCCAGGTGCTTTAATTAGAGCAACTCTGGGAGCTGCTCTAAATAAAGCGCCCCCCCTGCCTCCCCGAGCACATATATAAATGCACGTTAATTCCGATAAGGAACTCATTGAGTTGGTTTATGAGTTCATTCTGAATGGGTCCTGTTCAGTGCACCAGTGTCAGTGTTGTATCATCTGAGTTCAAGCCATGATTGTGGTGTGGCATTCTGAATGTTCACTATTAGGAATTGTCCATGAGGGTCCTCATGTTCCAGGTCCTGAAACTGATTGTGTATCTTCACTGATTTTAATTGCAGTAAAGGTGATCCCACTGGATATGGTTATCTCAGGGGTGGGAAAAATACAACCTGCGGGCTGGATTCAGCCTGCCAGGTACTTTAATCCGGCCCATGGCACCCCCCAACAAATTGTGCCCTGCCAACCCTTCCGCCTACGAGGGTGGGAGCGAGGCACCTACACTGCCCTCAACATACCCTATTATACCTTGCTAGCACTGGGCGGAGCTCCTGCTGCAGGCTTCCCTGATGTCCCACTCC